CTACTTTTAAAGAGATTTACAACTTGCTGTTTCAGCATCAATGTGTATATATGTTAAATGTGATATTAGCTATATCAACTCTCAAAGAAAGACTTTTGCACAAATTTCCTCCATTTCCCTCTCCTCTTTTGTATATATTTAAATAAAGATTATGTATTTTTCACTAAAAATTGGGAAGTTAAAAGTGAAGTTTGGATCTCTGGTAATTGTTTAACTTGTGATGTAAGATAATGATATCAGAATTTTCTTTCAAATTTATTAAATAGTATAAAACAGTTTATAATATATTTTAATATATATAGGTAAAGTTTTTTAAACATTTTTTTAAAGATTCATAATAATACTATTAATACAATATATTGCACATTAGCACAATCAAGAAAAATATCGAAACTTTTTCTGGTATATAAATTTTATTTCATACAGAAATAAACTTTATATCCCATAAATAAATTTTCGTATTTTTTCTTAGTATACGAACAAACAAAGATACAAACTTACCGAAATACGATGATACGAGTGCCAAATCTCAAAGCATTTGTTACAACTACACATATCCACGATCAGAACACGATGAATATCAATCACTATCGAACGACGTTGCGTTTAATCACGAATGAATCAATTGATCCTCTAAAACGTTCGTTTGTCGTTTGATCTGTCACTCCCAATAGTTTCACAATCACAGTTTACAAACCCTAAGCGTTCAATAGAAATTCGAAACCAACTGAATTGCAACAGCAGAGTCAACATTTTCATCTTGTTGAATTTTCGAACGTTCAAACAGTGCTGCAAATTTACGAGATTTTAACCGCGGCAAGGGCCTTCTACGTATGCGCGGACGATACGATATCCAATAGCAGACATCACTCTACGCATACGCAGAAGACCTTTGATCTGGGCCCCATTCTTGAAATTTTTGCGTATACGTAATTTTCATTGCGCAGCTATTTTATGGTATAATTAAACCTGCGCAGTAAAACTTACGTATACACAACTATTTCAAGAATGGAGGCCTTGTTCTTTTTAGCTGCACTGCTGAACTGGTGCAATAAGTTAAAGTGAAAAAAGATATATTTATCTATATTGATATACAGTTGAGCAGTGTAGCTGAAAAGAACAGACCACTCTTGTCGCGGAGAAAATCTCGCAACACTGCGTTCAAATAGAGTCTATTTTCTATTGTTGAACTGGCTGCACTAGTTTTCTCTCATCTTTCTTCCACCAAGTTTTATCTATATATCTATCTCTTTTTAGATTCCGAAAGTGTACACTAATTCAGCAATAGAAAACAGACCCACAGTTTATTCCAACGTAATTATCGTGAAGTATGCTATTGGTTTAGATTCCGTTCCTTTTCGAACCTGCCTCCAATATGGCTTGCTATTGGCTAAGGAGTCAATTTATCCATTTACAAACTCTAAGATATTATTATCACTACCATTTGTGATTCGAATATTATTACTTTTTTATAATAATTATAATAATATCTGCTCGATAATTGTATAATAATAGCCGCGAGCGAATAATAACTGAATAACGATGATCGAATAATCGGTAATAATGAATAACAATAACTGGGCAACGGCAATAATAAGTGATTAAAGACGAGGTAAAGAAATTGTCGTAACGGCATGCCCGAATTGCTTTCTTATGCGTAATAGCAATAATTAAATAATAACTGAATAAATTAAATAATAATCAAATAAAGAAGTAATAATACTCGAATATTAAATGGTAGTGATAATAATATTTATTCGACAATCGTGTAATAATATCCGCGAGTGGATAATAACGAAATAATGATGATCGAATAATCGGTAGTAACAATACCTGGGCAACGACTCTAACAAAAATTCTAGGCCCCACAAAGGCTAGGTAAATGTGCTGTCGTAACGGCCCGTTCGTGCCGCTGACTAAGCGGCGCTTGGGGAGGTCGGATCATGTAAACACGCGAGCACGTGCTCGAGCATCACGCCATAACACTCTCAACCGTTGAGACGAGCATATCGGGAGTTGCCACGTTATTTTCTACATTATTCCGTGACGATTTTTATATTTATTATAATTTGATTCATTTCCTCGTTATTCTAGTGTTATCAACTTAATCGTTATTTTAATAACATCGGTAAGACAATCTTTATTGCCATGTATGCCAAAAGAGAAACCGCGCGTTCACTATATCGTAATAATCCTCAATGTAACTTCATAGACTTCAGTTTACGATCAGCACTCAAGGCTCCTGCTTACTGATTCTATAGATCTTTTAACGATAGTGTCGTTATCGTTACGTTGTTGTAGCGCAGGTATAATGGCAAAAGGAAAATCACGCAACGATAATACAATGATAACTCAGTCAGAAATAATTCATCGAAACGACGTTGTTCCGACGAATTTCTGACTGTTTAACGACACACAGTCGTTACACAGTCAATAGTTACAGAATCAATAGGTCTAAGATTAACGTAACAAAATTATGAAAAAAATAGCTTAAAGAAGATAGTTGTATGTCATTAAGGTTAAGGATATTTATTAATTTTTCGAATAAGAGAAAAATATTCGGACTATTTCACATTCTTAACATGTATTTTCTCTAATGTTATCGATCAAAAATTCCGCGGCGAGGAGCCTGAACTCAGCTTAAAGCGTCACGGACGTTCTTGTGCGAAGACGTTAATTCAGGGCCCTTATGTCCGTATTCATTGTTAGGCTTTATATTTAATAGCGAATTTGGTAGCTTGCACTAGTGCGCACTGAGTGCGCTTATTTACAATACATTCTTATATTTAATATCGTGTCTTAAATACATATTTAAAAATATTCATTTTAGCTAATAAAATGATTCGTACGGATGTTGTACATATCATATTACTGATTAAAAATGTTTGAAAATTTATTTAAGACAATCTTTAAATATAATAACATACTCTGAACAAGCCTTAGT